AAACAACTAAAATCGAAATAATTTAAATCAAATTTTGTTATTTCCTTTGTTTATTTTGAGAACACCACGGAAACAAAAAAAGATATTATTCAAACACAACAAATCAATGTAAAACATTTTTTAATTTATTCATGTAATATATTTAGACTTTATTTATTGAACTTATTATTCAAACACAAAATTTATTATTTTATTTTTAATTGTATTTTTTTGGTTTTTTTTAAAAACAAAATTTAAAAGATTCAAATGTTATTTTTTATTTAATTACATGAAAACAACAAAAAGTAATTTATAGATAACTATTATAAAATGAAAGTAAAAAGACTATCTTGCAACAATAAGAACCTAAAAATACCAAAAGATTTGCTAATCAAAGAAATATTAATTTAAAATAACTTTTTGCAACACTTTTAATGACTAATAATAAATCTTATTTGCAATAAAATTGTTTTAATAACAAATTTGTTTGAATCAAGGGTGAGTGTCGTTTTTTCATTATTTTATTTATAAAAAATACTAGAATATTCAAATCCATAAAAAACTACTACAATATTATAATTTAATTTAATAAAGATAAATTGTATTTTTAAAGTGATTCGAAAAAAATATACAGTATGTGGAGAAAAGTATGTGAGAATGAGAAAACCCTGTGGATTCAACAAAAATTACATATTTGTTTTTCTTTTTTTAAATAAAAATGTTTTTCTTTAAAAAAAACAATCTAAATAATATAATTATGAGCTCCAGGAATGTTGCTTTTAGTGGCTTAGACCATACAACACTTGAAAAGAATTTAAAGTATTGTCCTGGTCCAGTGAAAGAAATAGCCCAAAGAACATTCAGCAAACATTGCAACTTTTGTGAATTGCCCCTGAATGTTCAGGTGTATTTGATGAATATTGAGAGAGAAATGTTCAATGGAATGAATACGGAAAAGGTGACCGAGAGTAAACTATGTAGAGTCTTTGCTTTAACTTCAAGTCAGTTTAATATCAACAAACGAAGAGGTATGGAGACGGCATTGTTTGGAAAAAAAGATAACGGAAGACCGTCACTTTTAACTGAAACACAATGGGGAATTGTCAAGAATTTGATTCTTGATAATGAAAAGTTTCCAGGAAAATGCAAAGCTATCAGCATAACTTATTTGAGGTTGTTTATAATAAAAACCTTCAACGTTGATGTGTCAAACCATGTTATTTATGATAAAATACATAAAAAATGGAACTTTTCGTTTGTTACTGTGTTTGCTGAAGACCAATCTCGATTGACCTACGACGAAGATGCCGTGTTGAAGTATTACATTGCACTGCCACTTTTTTTAAATGGCATCCCATCACCATTTATTTTGAATTTGGATGAGTCAGGGTATCAGCCATGGCCAGACAGGCAAATGGTGAAGGGAGTATTCACTGCTGGTTTTTCCACAGACAGTAAAATGAAATATGGAGTCGAACGTGACATTGCTCGATCCACTGTCGTTTGCACTATTACCCCCTCACAACCTCTTCCTTGTATGATTGTAACAAAATACAAAAGAGTTGCAGTTGAATTCTTGAAATTGGGTTGGATGGAAACGGGAAACATCGTCAGTTATAGCAAAAATGGTTTTATCAACAGTGACTTATTTATACAATACA